TCATCAGAAAAGCCTTTTCTGATGAAGGGTCTAGGCCCGAAACGTCAGCCTCTCTGCTCCTATGATGCTGCTTGGCCTGCTGTGTTCATCCAGCCCTGCACCTTGTTGTCTCGGATTCTCCAGCATCTGCAGTTCCTACTATCCTTGAAGTATATAAGTTGGATCAATATGCGTTATTCACTATTTATGCGTTTTTTTTCTTTCTGAGTGTCTAGCCAAAGTAAGGATGATTGTACACTGTTGATACATTGGCAAGCTAATTCGAGTTCAGAGATGCCAGTGACAATGTAGAAGAGTGGTGGTGAGCAAGGGCTAATAACACGAAAACTCTTAGCAGTTGAGGACAGAGGAATATGAAAAGAAGAGAAAGGAAAATCAAACCAGAACAGAGCAGAAGACATGTACAGAGCAAACTATGAGCAGCTGTTCTGAAGTGAGCTGACTGAATTATTGCTCATATTAAGTATAATTCTTTTTAAAAAATTGTGATAACCTTAATAAGTTATGTGAAATGGGTAATCTTGTAGCTAATCAGGACTGAAGGACTTTTCACATCAGCTATTCCATGCTCAGTCTATAATTGTAATTGAGGGTTCTGTTGTACTGTGGTAGTGTGCCTGCATCTGGTTTCAATCCCACCTGATCCACACATGTGCCATAACATGCTTGAACAGGTTGTTCAAAAATATTTAGAATTATAATTGTATGATGTTTTATAATTAAAGTTAGACACGATAAATTTGACACAATAGCATCACTGATCAGCATTTATTGCAAAACAAGATATAGACAGAAGCGTATGTTATCAAAGTGCAGCTTTTCGAAATGCTAAGAAAATTTGGGTATTCTGGACGAAGGAAAAGTCTTTAGGTCCAACAAGCACTAGACTTCTTCATTGATCTCAATTCCAAGCTTCTCGCTGTATCCTTCAATTCTTACTTCCTATAGAGATGTACCTGCTTGCTTATTTATTTACACTGTCTGCTACAATGACATCTCCTGTTAACTTACATTGCTGCCTACTGCCTTTTTTTTAAACATGGTTTTGTCTGTCTTCCATTCTTATTTTAACATTCTGTGCTTTAATATGTATCCACAAATAATTCAATTCTTTATCACCGTGGTCTTGTATCATCTATGAACATATGAATTTGGAGTAGGAGGCAGCCACATGGACTCTTGAGCCTGCTGTGCCACTCAGTAAGATCATGGTTGATCTGGTTACAACACATTCATGCTTAACTGCAATAATCTTTCTTTACCTAGCTTATGAGGAATCTACTGAAACCTAACTAAATGGATTGTACTTAAGAATCTCTTCTTTCATTTAGCCTCTAGTTTCTTCTCCTCTGCAAGCAGAATCTCTTGCCTACTCCTTCCTATCATGCCTGAAAAAAATTTTAAGACTCTGCATTCACAGCCTTTCAAGAAAGATGGTACCAAAAGCTCTCAATACCTTGAGAGAAAAAAAAGTCTTCTCATGTCTTCCTTATTTTTAAGCAATGATAATCCTTGGCAGTCCTATCTAACACTTGAAAACAACATCATCATCCAAAGCTTTCTCCAACCTCTCTCAGAATTGAAGTTTTAGATTCCAAATTTGTCCATATTTACCTGCTTCTCCACCCACTAGAAAAAACAACAGTGCTAACTGATGTATCAGTAGGCCTTGCTTTGTAGAAGAATTAAGCCTTCACAAGCCAAAAATCTGATTATTAATTGGCATCTTTGACAGGATGACATGCATGTGACATCAGCAGACCTTGAGAATGTCTATTTGGCCAATAACAATGCTGAAGTGTCTATTGGAGAATTCAATGAAACATTAAGTTTTAAAGGTACGGTCAGTTCATGTAACACTGTCATCTGTGTAATTTACAAATGTTATGTGAAATTGTTCATACATTTCAATTTCATGGTATCTATAGGGGAGAAAATTGGGAGAATTTTTTGGATCTGTGAAAATTCTGGTATACGGTGGAAGGAATTATGACCCGTTTTCCTCCTCCGCCACTCTCACTCGCCAAAATTGGGGGTGGGTACAAAGAAGCAGGAGTAGGTCATTTAACCCTTTGAGTCTGATCAATTTTATATTAGACCATTGCAGAACTGAAACCTAACTCCATGGATAGTACTTGAGAACCATTTTTTAATTCCGTTTGTATTTTCTGCTCCTCTTTAAACAGAACCTCTTTCGTTTTCCTTCCTATCTTGCTAGTCCATTGTTTGGTTTCCATTGCCTGAATTTTCACTCATATCCAAACATCTTATTACTTAAAGATCAACATATTTTTCAATGATTTTATTTTCAGAACTTAAAAGAAAGATAAGGAATTAAGAATGGCTTTTTTATTTGGTCATAACTAATGGAATCCAACTGAAGGGATGATATGATAAAGGAACCTTTAATTTGCTCCAGTGTTTAATAAGGAAACCTCAGGTTATTTGGTATTTATCTTGTTCTAGTTGGAAACAGAAAGTTTTGCTCCAATTGTCATTTGTCCTAAAGTTTTCGGAAGGACATAACGAGTGGCGCCAATGAGTAAACTGTGTTAGGCTGTCAGTTAGGGAGAAGAAAAGTCAGTGTACACTTCATTAAATGATGCACCAAATATTCACATTTAGAGATACTCTAGGCCACCTGTTCTGGTGTCACCTCATTAAATATAATCTCCAATTCTCATCAGAAAACCAACAGTTCTTGCATCTCCTCCAGTCACCATCTTCAACAAACTAGCTTTCACCAAAACTAGTTGTTCCTTTAGTTTAGTCTTGCAGCTATTTAAGAACAGCTACAATTCAGAATCCCTAACCAGAGCTGTTACAAAAATATATAATCTATGCATGATGGGGTAGTGCTGTGTATGTTACAGACTAAATAGAAATACTTAGATTGTCCATGGAATTTTTTTTACAATATCATTTGAGAGTCCATTTCTAGATACATCTTGATTTTTCTTTTGTTTGCCCATTGCTTGTATTTGAAATTGTGTGTTTTCCTTCTCTTAGAAATGATTCAAAAAGATAAATTTTCTGAAAGTGCACATGAAGTTCGGAGAAGGCCAAGATTTATCTCTAAAGACGATGTGGAGAGAAAAGTAAAGAGGTAATTAAGAATACAATTAACTGAAGATTATTATGGAACTTTCTATCACTTGTATTTTTGTTTATTCAGCCACTAATATCTTAAAGAGTTTTAAGTATTACTTGCTATGGGAAGGATGTTGTGAAACTTGAAAGGGTTCAGAAAAGATTTATGAGGATGTAGACAGGGTTGGAGGGTTTGAGCTATAGGGAAACGCTATGGAGAGTAGGCTGGGGCTATTTTCTTTGGAGCGTCAGAGGTTTATAAAATCATGAGGGCCATGAATAGGGTAAATAGGCACAGTCTTTTCCCCAGGTTGGGGGAGTCCAAAACTAGAGGGCATAGGTTTAAGGTGAGAGGGGAAAAATATAAAAGGGACCTAAGGAGCAACTTTTTCATGCATATGGTGGTGCATATATGGAATGAGGTTCCAGAGGAAGTGGTGAAGGCTGGTACAATTACAACATTTAAAATGCATCTGGATGGGTGTATGAATAGAAAGGGTTTAGAGGGATATGGGCCAAATGCTGGCAAATGTGTCTAGATTTACATATCTGGTTGGCACGGCCAAGTTGGTCAAAGGGTCTGTTTCCATGCTGTATGTCTCTATAACTCTATGGCTGTACTCACTGAGGTAAACAGTTGTAATAATGGAGAACAGAATGCTTTCTAGCTCAGGCAATATCAACAGCATTAAGCAGCTTAGGGTAGGAATTGCAGGCAGAGGCAAAGGCAGCCTGATGTTTCTTTGCTTGCTCATGAAAGGTACCTTTATTCCAAATTTTCCAGCTTTTCCTGATAAACATTCTGGTTTCTCAAGGAAGGCCCCTACGCTGCCAAAATCTGTTTACATATTGTTCCTTCATATTTGTGCCTAAAAATTTGTCCTGTAACTTCATGTTTGAGTTTCTCCAGTCAGGCATCTGCCTTGCCATAGCACACAATGGCATTAATCAAAAGTCACAAATTACAGACTGTGTAACCATGTTTGCAAAACAGTATTTTTCCTTGACGTCTGTTATGTAAAATAATGGCTCTGAAAGAGTTAATCTTGAAGTTGCATTAAGTCCACACAATTTGATAATGCACAGAGTCTTTGTGTGAAGAAGCAATGTAACACAAGCCCCTGTTGGAGATAGACATATCCCCTTTGGCTCTTAGTAGTCTTTGAAATTATATCTAACTAGTCAAAGTAACTTGTAGTAAACTAATCTTGTTGCATAAGACAAGTGCCTCTTCTCATTAAAATTTAATGGGGATTTCTTCTCAACCAGTTAAGTGGGTTATTCGACTCAGCTCGAAACAAGGAGTGGTGGCAGTACTCTACCACAACCACGTGTTGCCATTGTTGGTACCACAACATTCAACTGCCACGTTACCACCTCTGGATTTCTTGACTGTATCGTCATCCTCCAATGTCTCTTCCCTCCATTGTTTCACAAAATGGGACTTCCCTTGCCTTGTTCCACTCTTAGATTTTTCGATCATGCCACAGTGTCTCTAGAAATGACATATTTTACTGTTGGAGTTGTTGGTTGGTTCACCGAGCTGACTGGTTTTCATGCAGACATGTTGTCTCCCTTCTAGGTGACATCATCAGTGTTGTGTAGCCTCCGTCGAAGCACTGTTGTTCTGTCCCGTTCTGAATTTATATGGTCTGGTCTGTCATGGTGGGCAGTCTTGTTTCTGGTTTTGTACCAAAATGGTATGATGATGGGGTCTATCTCAACATGTTTGTTAATTGCATTGGTGGTTGAAAACCAGCCCTCCAAGAATTTTCGCGCTTGTCTTTGTCTCGCTTATCCTCGTATTGTAACTTTGTCCCAGTTAAACTGAAGTCCTTCTATGACAGAGTGTATTGAAACGAGGGAGATTTGGTCGTGCCATTTCACTGCGAGTTCGTGTTCATGTATCCTGGTGGTGAGTTTCCTGCCCGTCTGTCCTATGTAGTGTTTCTCACAGTTCCTGCATGGTATTTTACGTATCACATTTGTCCTGCTCATTGTGGGTATGGGGTCTTTTGTCTTTGAGAGTAACTGGCGAAGTGTGGCTGTTGGTTTGTGTGCTGTTCTTATTGCAAGAGGTCATAAGAGTCTTATAGTCAGTTCTGATATGTTTCTAATATAGGGTAGGGTGGCCAGTGTGATGGGGCGTACAGTGTCTTCTTGGTGTTAGAGATAACAAGGTGCAGAGCTGGATGAACACAGCAGGCCAAGCAGCATCAGAGGAGCAGGAAGGCTGATGTTTCGGGCCTAGACCCTTCTTCTTGGTGTTGTTTGTTTGCCAGGCATCGGTGGACGAAGCTGTTAGGATAACCATTGTTTGCAAAGACTCTGTGTAGGTGCTCCTCTTTGTTTTTGCGCAGCTCTGGCGTGTTGCAGTGAGTTATCACTTGTTTAAGCAGAATCTTGACACAGCTCCGTTTGTGGACGCTAGGGTGGTTACTGTAATAGTTCAGGATTTGGTCTGTTTGTGTAGTCTTTCTCTGGTAAGGAATTCAAAGACAAAATGTGCAGGACAAATGTGATATGCAGCAACTGCATGAAAAACTACACAGGACAGATGGACAGGAAACCCGCCACCGGGATATGTGAACACCAACTTGCAGCAAAACGGCACAACCAACTCTCCCTCATTTCAATACACTCCGACATAGAAGGACATCAGTTTAACTGGGACAAAGTTACAGTACAAGGACAAGCAAAACAAAGACAAGCACAAGAATTCCTGGAGGACTGGTTTTCAACCAACAATGCAATTTAAAAAAGTATGTTAAAATAGACCCCATCTACATACAACTATGGTACAAAACTGGAAAAAAGACTGCCCATCACGACAGACCGGGCCATATAAATACAGAGCGGGACAGAAACGACAGTGCTTCAATGGAGCACTGATGATGTCACCTAGAAGGGAGATGAAACGTTTGCATGAAAACCAGTCAGCTCAGCAAATCAACCAACAACTCCAACTGCAACCCAAGCTACAGATCTTCGTTAAAACATTAAATATTTTACTGTCCCCGGCTATTACTTGTGGGATATTCTATGGATCTGTCCTTGTCTCCTCCTCTAACTAATGTGGGAATTTTATCTTGATGGCATTATCAGAAGGCATGGAATCAGCTTCTACAGAATGACCTTTGGCTGTAGCTGAGGTGATGATACCCCGGGTAATCATGATGGATCGCTTTGCAGGGTTCTTCTCTGGCCTCTCTAGTTTGATGCTAAGATGCTGCCACCTTTCCATGTACAAGCTTCATCAGGGCTAATGGACCTTCTGGAAAATTCTGCTGGTGTACGAAGAGTGCTGTCAATTGGATTTTAATTTGCCTAATTGATGCCATCACTGACCATCACTGGATAACCATTAATCATCAGAAGCCACCTTTGTTGGTAAAGGGTCAGAGGTTGACAGATCATGCCAATTGGTTGTGAGAAAATGGGAGGCCACCAAACTCTAAACCTGCCTCTGTCTCAGGATGAAAATTTTATCTAACTATTTCAGTGCTCTCCATCCAGCCTTCCATTCTTAATCCTCCATATATTTCAACTCCTCCCAAACTTTGTTAGCTGCACTCCCAATCAGCTATCATCCTATTTTTGCAAAAATGCTGCCTCCTCCACACTTCACATCAGCTCTGATGAAGAGTCACCTAGACTCAAAATGTTAGCTTGCTCTCTCTCCATGGATGCTGTCTGCCCAGCGGTGATTCCCAGCATTTTTTTTTTTGTTTTCAGTATAGATTCCAGCATCTGCACTAATTTGTTCCTTCTTTGTCAGCTATGTTGCTTCTGCTGACATTAATGGATGTAAAATCACAGGCCATGAAATTGCAATGTTCTGACAAACCACTTGTGGTTTGGAAAGTTATGCCAGTGCCACACAACCTTGGAAAGTTCTGCCAATAGTGTGTCCTGATGAGAACATTTCCCTTTTGGGACTTCATAGTATCAACAAAAGCTCCAAGTAATGATCACAATGTGTGATATATAAGGACTAAATAACCCTGTGAGCTGTCCGCTAGACTGTATTATACATCTTAAGGGTGCGCATTCCTAACAACTTTCCACATGGAATTCTCATGCATATAATTTTTCAGTCATGTTAGTATGTTGGAAACAGCACTGCTTTTTTTTTTGCCTATTTTGTTTAACAGCTTCATGGAGTATTTAAATAAAACCTTAGTGAATAAAAATTGAAATGTAAAGAACTTTCCATAAGTTGTGATACGATTGTGCTGTGCTCAAACTCCAGCCTTACCTTTACAGTGGTATATAAAGAGGATACCAGGTGTAAAAGAGTTTCCAATAAGTACAGGAAGTTTTTTGTTTCTGTATTAGTTCTTAGTAGATTTTTATGCCTGATTCTCAATTTTTGATGGTATTTTTCTATAATTCCCACATTTTTTGCTTGTTTTATATTGTAGGCATTTCTACACATTTAAATGTTTTATCTCGACCATCTATAGGAAGTTCATTGTTGGTCAAGCTCCAATCTCATCAAGGGTAATTTTACATGAATATTGCATTGGGAGAGGGCTTTTATCCATGGGAATTGGATATTGTAAATTCAGGCCTACATTGTCTGTGATTCAGCCTTCTAGCTTCAGGTCCTTGCATAGCTACCATACTTTCACCAAGAACCACAAACTCGTTAGGCTATTGTTCAGCTTAGAATAATTATACAACTTTGACATGAATTACAGGGATATCTGAAGCCAATCTCTAAGACAGGACCAATACTGCCAGTCACAGCGACAGTGCTTTTAAAACTGCATTAACGTATGCTCCCCAATTTAGATGTTTTCTGTCTCTTACCATCCTCATACCTACTCCTTCATTTTTTGATATGCTCCCAACACCAACTACAATATGTCATAGGGCTTCTCTTTGAATATGGGCCACCTTCAAAACATACCAACAGAACATTCAAGTAGGAACCTGTTGATGTTGAAATTGTTGTGCTCTGAGCTAAAAAGAAATCAGTCATTGCACCAAACTTTAAGAGTTGAGTTAAAATTGAAGTCAGTCATAGGCAATGCTGTATTCTGCAGATCCGTAAGATAAAATCAGTTTAATGCACGATCAACCGATTTACTAAAGAACTGAAGAACTATACAAAGGTTGAACTTAATTTTGGACTGAAAGATGTTTTTTTTCATTGTGTTACTAGTAACATATCTCTCCAAAATGGCCTGGTGTGTAGAATCATAAAACTTTACAGCACAGAGGAACCACTTGGCTAGACCAATTCAAATTAATCCCAATGTGTCATTTTCACTATGTAAGTGTCTTTATTTCTTCTTTAAATTAATTATCCGCCTTTTTTTATACGATGCAATGGTCTCTCTTTCAGCCAAGTGTAAAATATTCCATTGGAGAAGGAACTCTCCAACTCTGTGCATCAAGAACTTGCTTTGATTCTCCATTCTCAGTAGTAGTTTTAGATTGAAACCTTGTTATTAATGATTCGTTCTCCATAGGAAGTAAGTTTGCTATATTTATTTATTCTATCATAATGCTTAGTGTAACTGAATAATATGATGAAGTTAATTTAGAGTTCTACTGACTACCTTCCAGTCCCTTGGTGTTTTGCATATTTAGGAGGGAATATAAGACTTTTTTCGGATTCTCTGATGTATCACTTCAGGATTTGTTTATAGTCTCAGGTCCAAGCCATTGGAATACTTAGCTGCCTTGACATCTATTACTTTAAACTAATGGTTGGAAAATCATGGGTGGAGCATCTGCATTATTCCAACATGGCTGCCAAGTGGATGATGTGTACGTGAGAGAAAGATCTAATATTATTAGATCTCATTCTGAAAGGTCAGAAGAATGACTTGTGGAAAATCGGTGTAATAAAAAGTGTTCGAGGTTGAGACTGTGCAAAAGTAATTTTACACTTACCGGTTTAATACTTGATCTGAGAGTGTGAAGTAAAGCAGTGCAAAGAAACCTCCCTCCTGTACCAAAACAAAAATTGCTGGAAAAATTTGACTGGTCTGGCAGCATCTGTGGAGAGAAAGAAAGTAAACGTTTCAAGTGAATTTTCTTCATAGGTCTGTAAAAGGGTCGCTGGACTCTGGATGTTAGCTCTGAGTTTCTCCAGCAGTTTCTGTTTCTGTTTTAGAATTCCAGCTTCTGCAGTTCTCTGTTTTATTTTAACCTCTCTCCTGTGTTGTACTGAGTTTGGGAATGTTTGGTGAAACTGATACCAAAATGTAAAGAATGTTTACTTCTTCACCTCTGACATCTATTTCACTGATGGCAAAATGCACAATGTTGCAAGTGTCTTAGATAACTCCGCATTGTATAATATTGTGTGATATTTAATATTCTTTCATTTTACAACAGTGTTCAGTCGCGACAAGGGAAAGCCAGTTCCTGTGAATCAAAAAGGGTTCCAGATTATTGGGACAAGTCAGCTTTGACAAGCATAGGCTACACGGTAAAAGCCTTTCCTCTATTACACATTAGTGATACTGAGATTCTGCAGCAGCCAATTCACATTTAATGTATTTGAGTACAAATTTACAGTTCCTGCTAAAAGACACTGGTCCATCATCCACTCCCCGTGGCTTAGGTCTCGCATAATGAAATGAGATTAACAGGCATCTAGAATTGAGTCTACAGGTTGTCATTGATGAGCTGGATTATTCAGCGGCCTTTTTGGGGGGTGGGGTGGAATGTGTTATTAAGGCTTATTAATGCATTTAAAATTATTTTTTAAAGTGTTCAACACTTTTAGAGGGTCATGGAAAGAAAAATTAACAACCAAGAACAAATATTGAAATAAAATCAAACAGAATTGCCTGACAATTGGTAAACTAAAGCTGCCCTGATATTCTTTCTTAATGGATGACAATATGGATGAGCTGCTACATCAGTTATTTACAAGAAGGATTGCTGTGCTGGAACTGTTGTATCATGCTTAACCGGAAGTGGTACGGCTCAGTGCTGTGCACGGCATAAATATAGTATATGAGTTATTCATTGTCATATATATATAGAAAGATACAGTGAAAAGTGTTTTGTCACCACGATCCAATGCCGTTTTAGGTTACAAAAAGAGTAAAAAGAAATTACATAAAAAGAGTTCATCTTCCGTACAAGGGATCTTTCAAACATGGCTCCAGGGCTTCTGTAAGATCTCTACAATGCGTCCCGGGCCTCAAGGACTCCCCGCTCAAGGTACAGCAATGACAATCACGCTTCAGGCATACCACAGCCAGGTGTCCCCACTCCAGGCAATGCCTCTGCTGCAGCCAAAGACCCAACAGGTCCCCAAGTCCATACTGTGGGCCTCCAGCAGCCAGGAGTCTTCGCTCCAGGCACCGCCACCATTGCAGCTGATGCCCGCCACACCACTCTGGCTTCCCCATGATGTCAGAAGATGAAGAAAAGAAATAGGATGAAGATAAAGACGAGAAAGGAGAGAGAGAGAAGGCTGCAGTCACTGTGGAGCAGACGTGCTCAGGAGGCCAAACACTACCTACAATGCAAGCACCGCCATCTTTGAAATGGAAAGATAGGTGATAACCTGGTAGGGTAAGATGGTGCAATTTACCAGGTACCATTCAGCAGCTCTTCAGAAGATAACTCCATGCTCTAAGCCTTATCTATTAGTCTGTTACCAAGTTACTACTTGTCAACACTAAGTCCTCATTCAAGCTTATAAATTTGTTAAAGTGTTTCATGGTTCTTCAGTGAATTTCACACATTAAAGGTCTTTACTGACAGCCGGGCTATGTAAATATCAGTGAGCCACCTGCTGCACTTTGGAAACACACTGGATGTTCTAACATGTTGTTCCTTGTTGAAGGTAATCAAAACGCTGGCCACGTTATCAATGCAGCTGTCTCCTATTGGATCCATATGTGGACAGTACGTGAGCTTATACTGTAGTACCAACCAGCTAGGAAGCATAGCCTGTTAATTAATGAGAAAACAGTAATTGGCTATAAGCCTACCATCACTCCCCTACCACACCCCAAGATTGATTTCCCTGATGGGAACATTTGATCATAAAATAAACCCGATAAAATAAAGCTTTATTTTAACATTCTCAGTTGTATGCTCACAGTCTGGATTCTTTTTGCAGCGTACCCAGCTCTCTCCACTCTCCAATGAATATAAGAAAATCCAGTCTCTCTTCGAGAACAGCATGAAGCCTGGCAATATCCAGAAAATTGACAGAATCCAAAACCTTGGACTTTGGGAAATATTTCAGTGGTTTGTAAAACACAATCATATGTGACTATCAATACAATTAATATCTACGTACTTACAACATTCTGATACTAGACAAATGTAACAAGGCAGTCAAGAGCAAGATAGGGAGATTGAGAAAGAGAAACAACATAAAGAGCCGCAGAGGCTACATAAACAGCATGAGGGAGAGCACTGGAGATGGGAAAGATATGTATAATATGAGCAGAAGTAAGTCATTTGACCCCTCAAGCCTGCTTCACCACTTAATAAGGTTCTAGCTGATCACTTTGTATTTGAATTCCACATTCCCATCTACTCCCAATAACTTTGGTTCCCTCGTCTAAGAAGAATCTTTTTACCTCTCTCTTAAAGATATCATTATACCTCTCCCTTATTTAGTAGCTCTGCTCCTACTGCCTTCTAAAGCAAGGGGTCAAAAGTCTCAAAACCCTCTGGGAGAAAAGTAACTCCTCTTTCCGTACTAAGAGGGTGTCCCCAATTTTAAAGTAGTGACCCCTAGTTCTGGACTCACCCATGTGCACAAATATCCTTTCCATGTCCACCTTGTTGAGATCGTTCAGGATCTTAGACATTTCAATCATTTCATTCCTCACTGTTCTAAACTCCAGTGGACATAAGCCCAGCCTGACCAAAATAGAACAACCTTTCTTCATAGAACAACCTAGTCCAGGTATTAAACTACGGCTGAACAATCTGTAATGCGGTGACATCTTTCCTTAAATAAGGAAACCAAAATTGCACACAGTATTTGAGATGAAGCCTTAGTAATGTCCTGAAGCATAACATCCATTTATGTCCAATTCCTCTCCTAAAAGGCTCTTTCATTACATGCTGTACCTTCATACAAACTTTCTCATGTATTACAAAACCTAAACCACTCTGTACCTCAGAATTCCACAGTTGCTCTCCATTTGACTAATACACTGCTTTTTTAATTCTTCCTACCAAAGTCAACAACTTCACATATTATACTCCATCTTCCAGATTGCTGCTCATTGATTCAATCTATATATATGTATTACATATATATATATCTGCCTGAAAACGTCTTAAGTCTTTTTCACAACCTGAAGCAGTGTCTTATAAAGATTTGAGGGACATAGGCTTTGGTGACATGTGTGGCAGGATGAGATGAGAAGTGCAGTAAAGCGGATCTCAATATTGAGATCATCTTGCTCCATCTTTTCCACTTTCCACAAGCAGGGTGGCAAGTTTCTTGCTAGTCAGCAATGAGTTGCCAGTTGTTGAAGATTAATACATGTTAACCTTCTTGTTGACAGCCCAATTCACCTCATTAATGTTAAGATTCTGAAATTACCAAACTAACCAACAAATTAGACTTTGGGAAAACTTCATGTGCAAATCAGAGTGAGTACCTGGTGGATTCAGCTCCAAACAACCTTCATGTTGGAAACAGGTACTAATATTTCAGCGCACACTCTATGGGCACCAGCTGCATGTACCCCACATCCACAGACATCGATGTCCCATTTTGCCAGCCTCTATGAACCCTCTCCTCAAATCAACAATCCACTCATATGACACTTCTGAACATCATTGCTGCCCCTCAGGTGCACTGGCAACTAACATTGTAAGGACGCTGAGCACTCAGGGACACAGGGACACACACCCAGTTCATGGACTGGACCAGGCTGTATCTCCAGGCTCTTTGCTCACTCTCAGAATGCTCACTCACTCTGAGCCTACCTGGATGCTCACAGCATCCAAACCTTGCATTGCCTTCCCTTGTCTGTTTGGTCTTTGTACCCTTAGCCAGAGATACCAGATTCATATTACTATTGTCTTGCCTTGCCATTTAGTGCACAAACAAAGCCAAGAAGATTCTCTTGGTTGTCAGCAGGTCTCAATCAAGTCAAGGAGGATAGCCTTCACTCAAGGGTTCCTGGCACAGTACAAGGGCAGCCTTCAATATCAATCCTGTTTGGAACACTAAGAGTCAAGATACTGTCCTCATAAAAGGTGAGGAACCAAATGGTAGGCAGCACACCATTGTCATAAGTCTTTCTGTCCTATTGTGGGATGTTTCTTCTTGGAAAGGGGGAGGCAGGTAATATGGAAGATGAAAATGGGTGGCACAGATATTGCTGTGTGCCGGTGCAGAGTGCCCCAAGCGAGTGAATAGGCTGCTCAGAGGGCGTGCAGGCTTACACGTGTTTAGCGGGAGCAGTTGGATGAGCAAGATGACTATGACAGCATTGTCAGAAAGCCATTCAAGTGGGGGCAGCAAAAGGTAAGCAATGGTAATGGTAACATTATAGTAAATGGGATTGACATTATTCTCTGCAGAAAAGTACAAGACTCCTGAGGTCTTTATTACCTGCCGAGTACCTACATTTGGGACATCTGCTCATACCCTGAGAGAAACTTAGAACTGGAAGGTGGGGATCTGGTCACCATCATTCATAGAGGTACTAATGACATAAACAGGACGCAGAAGAATTTCTGTAGTCAGTATTAGGATCTTGACACCAAATTATGAAGCACTACTCAAAGGTAATACCCTTCTGATTAATACCTGATCTACACATAAATTGGTATAGATTAATAAAGATTAGAGAGATGAATGTGTAGTTCAAAGACTGATGTGGTAGCAGTGGGTTCTAATTCATGGTGCACTGGCACCAGGACTGCAGAAAGTGGCAGCTTTATCATTGGGACACTCTACACTTGAAATTGTGTTGGGCCACTGCCATAAGGAGGAACATAACTAGGGAAGTGGAGAGGTTTTTAAACTAAATAGTGACTGCAAGGGATCAAATTTGTGAAGATGTCATAAAATCAAAATGTGTAGACAAGAGAGAAAGGTACCAATATAGGAAATGATAAACAGACTGTGACAGGAAAGGAAATAGAGTACAAATTTAAACATAAATCAGCAGATAAGATTGGAGGTTACAAAAATAATAAAAAGACAAAACTAAAGGCTCTGTATCTAAATGCAAGTAGATGTCAAAGCAAACAGATGAACTGACAGCACAAATAGAATTGATTAGATATGATCTGCCAGCTATTACAGTCACATTGCTGCAGGACAACAGCCTGGATGTCAAAGGTTCTGTGACGTTTAAGAATGACAGAACACAAAGAAAAAGTTGAGGATTGTTCTGTTAATTAATAGTGGTATGAATACAATGAAAATGGATGCCTATTTGACATTTTGACTTGGAGTTACATTTGCTATTCCTTCATTGTCACTAGGTCAAAATTCTGGAATTCCCATATTGACAGTTCTGCTCACCACCACCTTCTGAAAGGCAGTTAGGGATGAGCAACAGATTCTGGCCCAGCCAATAATGCCCTAATCCAAATAAAAAGAAATTACATCACTCAGATATTTAGAACAGAACTGTCTTTAAGAGTTAATTGAGCTAAAAATAGAAAAGTAGTTATGCTTCGAGACAATGCATTTCAGAATGCCAGACAAGAGGAAGGAAGTATACCTAGAATTTTCTTAAAATCTTTGGACAGATTATTGCTGATAAAAGATTGGAGAGCTGCTTATATTGCATTCTGACTCAAGAAGTAGATTGGGAAAGTTCAGGAAATTATAGACCAAATTGTCTTATCCAGGTTGAAAACTTTTTTTTCTGGGAAGATTTCATGAATTTATACCTTATGTCTTCTGTAGACACAATGCTCATATCTTATCACATGAACTCTTGGAAATATTATTTACTACTTTGCACTCATTCCCATTTCACTGTATCTTCTATGGGTATCACCTACTCCCTTACTCTCTTGTTATCGTGCTAGTGAAATAATTTATTTTACTGAGATGCTTGGTCTCAGTTGCTGAGACCTTCCTTTGATCAATGTTGTAAAGTGTTTTTACATTTTCTCTTATAAATTTTGTGTGTCCCAATACCTTTTTCCATGTCATGTTTCTATTCCATCTCACTTTCAGTTGCTTGGTAATTCATTTAATATCATGTTTGCTTGCTCTGAGTTTATTAGCTTTGAGAATGAACTTATCTGCATGCTTAGCATTACGCCCGTAAAGAACATAAAAACATAAGAACATAAGAACTAAGAGCAGGAGTAGGCCATCCGGCCCCATCGAGCCTGCCCTGCCATTTAATAAGATCATGGCTGATCTTTTTGAGACACAGCTCCACTTACCCGCCCGCTCACCATAACCCTTAATTCCTTTACCGTTCAAAAATTTATCTAGCCTTGCCTTAAAAACATTCAGCGAGGTAGCTTCATCCGCTTCACTGGGCAGGGAATTCCACAGATTCACAACCCTTTGGGTGAAGAAGTTCCTCCTGACCTCAGTCCTACATCTGCTTCCCTTTATTTTGAGGCTATGCCCCCTAGTCCTAGTTTCACCTGCTAGTGGAAACAACCTCCCTGCCTCCACCTTATCTATTCCCTTCATAATCTTCTATGTTTCTATGAGATCTCCCCTCATTCTTCTGAATTCCAATGAGTATAATCCCAGTCTACTCAGTCTCTCCTCATAATCCAACCCTCTCAACTCTGGAATCAACCGAGTGAATCTCCTCGGCACCCCCTCCAGTGCTAGTATATCCCTTCTCAAGTAAGGAGACCAAAACTGCACACAGTACTCCAGGTGTGGCCTCACCAGGACCCTATACAGCTGCAGCATAGCCTCCCTGTTTTTAAACTCCATCCCTCGAGCAATGACAGACAAAATTCCATTTGCCTTTTTAATTACCTGCTGCACCTGCAATCCTACTTTTAGCGATTCATGCACAAGGACACCCAAGTCCCTCTGCACAGCAGCGTGCTGCAATTTTTTACCATTTAAAACATAATCCATTTTGCTGTTATTCCTACCAAAATGGATGACCTCACACTTATCAACATTGTACTCCATCTGCCAGACCTTTGCCCACTCATTTAGACTATCTATATCCCTCTGCAGACTTTCAGTGTCTTCTGCACACTTTGCTCCACCACTCGTCTTAGTGTCATCTGCAAATTTTGACACACCACACTTAGTCCCCAACTCCAAA